TCTTCTAAACACATATGTTGGCATGTGTATTTAATCAGTCAATATCATTCCTTTTTGTTGTTGTACACTGAAAAAAATATGGCAATCGCATTTGAAATTTACTTAATCATCGTGATACATCATCATTAAATTCATAAAAGCAAAACGTGGAAATGAACGCTTAATTTAATATGACGCTTTAAAAAAATCCCCATCAGCATCCAGTATATGTGCAGTTTCTGCCCAAATATTTTGTTTTTGTTGTAGATTTTTTGATGGGGATAACTAGGATCATCCAAAACTGCCTTTTTATGAACTATGTTTGTTCTCTCGGCATCTGTTCATCCATTCCTGCAATAAGAAGTTTCTTTTGACTGGATTTGATTATACTTTTAAGCCCCTGGGTATAACATAAATATTTTTGATGGAGATGAGAAATCTGCTTCCTGGTATGTTGAAGAACCAATAGTTTGCATCCCATCTTTTAAATAAACAGTGTTAGTTTTTTTGGACATACATAAGAATTATGCTATAATTTCTAGTTACTAATCTGTCATTACTATATTTTAATTTGACAAGCCAGATTTTCTCTTTTTCCTGTTTGGTGAGATTGTAATTGCAAATCTCAAGCTGGCCGGACCGGTGCGGAGCAAAAAATAGCTCAGCTCCGAATTTTTATGGTGACGGACGGAGAAGACGTACAGGGACGGGGACGTGCGGAGAGTAGCGGAGGATGTCGAACAGCTCTCATTGATTAACATGACAGACAAGAACTCTGCACGACGTACATGATGGAGCAGAACGCTGATGGAGTATGCAGAATCTGGGGGGTAACACTTTTTTTATACATTACCCTGCTCACATGAAACAATTGTGTCAAAGTAACTAAATACGATTAAATAAAGGCCAAAAACGGTTGCATTATTTTTTTTCCAGTGTAGTTAATTAAACCCCTTTGTTTCCCATTGATAAACATCCATAAAAGACATGAATTTCCAGGAAAAACACATCCATTAATAGCCTATAGAATGAAACATCAAAGCTAGTGATTTACAGATATTAAGCTTGCTTCGGTTTAAATCGCATCCAGAGACTCCACTAAGTTTACCATCATGAGATCTTCATTTTATATTTTCTAGAGACAAGGAAAGGGCAGTATTTACGTACATTTAAGGGTGGCAAAGGGTCCTAGGAGTCACAGGGCAAACACAGGCTGAGGTTGTATATGCTCATGTCAGAGAGATTCAGGAGAACGGCAGCAGGATTCTGTGTCTCAAGTGAAAAGAATGCAGAACTGTGTGGGAACCCAAAGGAGGCTGGTCAGGACAGTCTCTGCTCTTGGACAGTATTACTGGGCAGAAATATACCATTTAAACTTCAATAAATAAAGGAAATTATTTGATTTGATTTTAAATTAGAATGAGACTACGAAAGCTTAAATCATGACAACATGATGATCTCTGAAACAGAAGGTACGTCTGATACAGACCATCAAGTTCAGTGAATACAGTCCAAAGGTTGAATGTGATAGAAAAGCCCCTGAATAAGCCTTTTGTGTAGCACAGCTCAATAGGTAGCCTCATTTTAGTTGGAAAGTATACTTCTACTGTGTCTAAGCTGAATTACATTCAACGACTAGTTTAAGTAAACATAATTGAAGGTCTGCTTGCAGTTTTCCTACAAAGAGAGGATATGTTGTGCAGGAATAAGATAACATGGCAACATTTGGATTTAGAGCAAACCCAGCTCAGAGTTTAAAACACAAGCGAACCACAACAAATAACAAGGACTATAATAAAATGGGTCTAAGGAAGCTGGTTAAAAATGATGGGAAAATGGATGAAGCTAAATGTAAGACAACATGAAGGTTAGAAGGCAACCCTGGCGTTACAAGCAAAGCCTCAGCTCAGTTTCATTACAGACACCTGTTGCTGACATGGCCTCTTGTGAGAGGACCTCTCCACCTCCCACAAACTCATTGAATTATATACACAATTTAGACTAAACTGTGACTTGTAAAATCCTGGGCTGCACGTTTGTTTTGATGATGCGTCGATGTTTGTCTCTTTAATGACAGTAGAATGAGTTTCTCACCAAATAAATTGAGTCTACAGGAAACCTTAGCCCACACATTCGTGCTTCGTCCCTCAGTGTTGTGTCTTGTATTGCTACAGTCAGGACAGAGACTGCTAGAGCTCTACACAATCTGCTCTACGTTACACATACCATGGTCAACTGCTGCTGAACAAAGAGACAAAGCCTGCTGCCTTGGCAACATGGAGTTAACATGGTTGTGCTGGACTGCTTTAGGCTTCTGAATTTAACAAATAAAAACGCAGTCAAACTGGTAAGGAATTTAAAGTGACTCTTTTTCAGTTCCATAATAAAAAGAGATGGGTTACATAATACGAAATAGAGGTGTTCACTGTCGGTGGGTAACCCCAAATCATTGCCTGTTTTATTTTCTTAAACTCTTCCTTTCTCCATCTAGGCTTTGCCACATCCTGCAGGTTGCGACCACAGCCCATCTGGGTTTGGTTACACGAAGACTTAAGAGTCTAAAGCTAGGCTTAGAGGAAAACACAGGGGCACCTCCTCATCCACAAAGTGCTCTAGTCCAAAAACATGGAAGCTCTGATGTGGGCAACAGGAAGTACAGTACAGGCAATGTCATATGATACAGCTCAATCTAGTAAAGTAGAAAGAGACAGCCATTGGTTTTAATATGAAGGTCAATATTGTGAAAACAGACAAATATTATATACCCAGAGTTATGTTTTCATTCAACATGAATCAATTATTCTGCAGCCCCCATGTGACAAGCAAGGCTCTATTTTTAGTGTCACTTGATATTTCCAGCTAGAGACCCTGACCGCCCCCTCTCCTTTTCATGCTCTATTCAAAAAGCAGATGAAAAGATGAAGAGTGACATCCTGAGAGCACCATGAATCTCCCTTTTTTCCCTCTTTGTCATATTCTGCAAACAAATCAACCTTCTTTTTTCCTCATGTCATCATGGCTCACAAGAAAGTAACAGCTCCAGGATAACAAGACATTAACAGCACTGCAGCATTTCTTTTTAATAATACACAGGCTAGTTTATACATTCAGTGGTTATAAATCAACAAATAAACACTAGAAACTCAGTTTTGTCTTACCAAAAAGCAAAATGCTGTTTTTAATGTGCCTGCTTTAAGTTGATTTTAAAGTCCACATGGAGGAAAAACGGGTTTTAGTCCTAAATCAATATTCAGCACAGCTACCTCAGGCAAAGCACAGAGTTGACAAAATCCCATCGTACTGAAAAGGTTGCACACAAAACCCACGATAAACGCTTAGTTTATGAGTTAATTTCAAAACAGCACAAAAGATCATTTAAAGATAACCTTTTTCTGTACTGAAAGGAATGCTTTCTCTGGTAATAGGTAGTCACCGCTGGGTTGTTGCTCAATGTGTGCACAGTGTGTTAACCACAGAACAAACAATCTGGCCAGCACATGACTTTTAGTATGAACGCCATGTGGTGTCACTTCATTCCTTCTGACACTGTACTAGTTAGCTTTGTGTGTTTACTGTGAAAGCAAACTCCACACAGAAATATATTGTTCTCAGTTTTCTTTACTTTTGGAAGGGACAGAGCGCGAAAGGGACAGAGCGCGACTCCTGCTGACAACTGTGACGGCGCGTGCTTTTAATAATAGCAAGTATCACAAGAAAACCGGACCAAAAAAAAAATAAAAAAGGTTACACTCACCATTTCGTCCAAAGCATAGCGAAGTAACCCGTGCTCATAGAGGATGAAGAACCTTCTTTGCCATTTCTGTAAGAAAATAGATAAAATAATTCACTTTAATTAACCCGTTAACTGGCCACACCAAAAAATAAATAAAAATCACCCAAAACGGATTAAAATTTTCAATCAGCTGCTGTTCTTCTACCCTTGGGAGGTTTTAGTCTGCCTTCAGGCTGCATATCTAGAAGTCTTGCTTGGTTCCATAAACAGGACGCGACAGTTAACACCTTAACAGTTCAAGTAAAACCATTTCACAAATAAGAAGTTTTGGTTTTTTAAACAAGAGATTTGTTTTATTTAAAATGTACTTTAAGTAAAGAACATTTAATTTGCAAGGAAAAAGTCATCTTTATCATCTTACAATGTCAACCAAGTTCACAGGCTTTCTTTTGAATATAACATGTTTCGAACACTTTCAACCCACATTTCCTCAACAAGCTTCAGCTGCTCCTAATTTTCTCTGTGTTTATCTTTCCTTTCAAAAAGATTTTTTTCTGACAGGCTTCATTAGTCCTTCTCAGACTAGGTCTGAATACTCGAGTTAAAGATTATTGGATTACCTTATTAGATGACGATTATTTCCATAACCGAGTAATCAGGATTAATCCAATCAAATATTTCTTCCCCATTTCAAAAGCAGGTTTAATGAAAACTCTAAATTTCTAAGCCTGAATTTTACATTAAGAGTTTCCTCAACCCTTGTTTCTGTTACCATAGTAACATTTCCCGTAGAGCTAACCGGGTCATGAGCAGGTTTTTCTCAATAACCTCTGTTTATTGGAAGCAATCACGTTGTTTTATTTCCTGATTAAGTCAGGAGAGTTTTGTCGTAGTTTTGTGTGAACAAAAGAAGAGAAAACCAGTTAACAGGTCCATTACACACATATTGTGTTTAAAACAGAACCAGCATTTCCTTTAGAAGAGGATCCAATTACAGAATGAGCGACATCAATTCAGACAATTCAATATTTCTAGGGAGAGGGTTCTCAGATGCGTATAGATGTCCCTTATATTCAGAAAGTCTCTCAATGAGTTCTACCCTTTCACCTCCAATCATACATCCATGACCTTATGCGACCAGACAGAGTTACACAGACTTTAACAGGTACTTTATAGAACTTGACACCGGTGCGAGAATATTGATGTGTGATTGATCTGTGAACAGCATTATAGAAAACAATTGCACAGTCAAATGGCCACTCAGTATTTACTGTATAATGGAAGACAAAATCAAAACGAGGAAGAACTCCATGAGATGATGCACAGGTCCCACTTGTTAGAACGTTTTTATATTTCATCTTCACCTGCTGACAGGTGATCCCACCTTAATATAAAATCTGATCCACTACCATTCAACCAGTAAACTGGTTTTCCCTTTAATGTTATCGTGTTCACAACAGTCTACGGCAGACTGTTTTGATATTTATTAGATTGTATATTTATGCATCTTACATATCTGAAATAAATGTTTTAACAAAATAAAATTCTTCATTCTGGATGTGTAAAATGAATTTCAGATCTAAATATTTCTATAGTTATTGGCCATAATTTGTATTATATTGATTAGGAAGAAATAAATGTATTTTAGATATCATAAATACATATTCATTCAAGCTGATGTCAAAAGAGCCTCTTAAAATCTGTAAACAATTCTAAGTATATTAAACTTAATTACTAGTACAATTTTGTTTTTTGACATTCTGAATTTCTTTTCTGCTGGCAAAAATGTAGGAAATCTATTATAACAGTTATGACTAGGACTGAGATTTTGACTAGGAAGAATCTTATTTTAGTGACCTACAAATGGAACAACGGAGGAGAGTGCTTTTAATAAATGTTAAAATGGCCTGCCATAGACCAATCTCTTAAACCATTTCCCCTCTCCTTTCAACTGTAGCCCTTTCTTTTAAACATGTTCTCTTATGTTTTCGCTAGTTCCAGTGCTGCTAAATTGGCACTTCCGGTTGCCTGTTGTCATGGATACATGAATCAGCTTTTCACTAATAATTGCTTTTCATGGTTGTTACGCACATGCTCAACTCTGATTGAACCTACTCAGAGTTGATTAGACTAACTCACCGCATCCATTTTGAAAATTTAGAGTTTCCAACCTTAGGCTAGATCATTTCAGAGTTGAAGATTTGAGTCTGAGTTTGTTGAACCTGCTTTGTGAAAGGGGCCTCTGCCCTCCCTTCAAAGGTATGATGTCATTGTGTATTTATGCGAGGCAGCTGATTAATGTTATTTTTATGTTTACCTCCGGGAAGAGAGTGAAAAAGAAGAGTTTAACCAAGGCACAAATCGTTGTGTTGGTGAGTAAGGTGGACAGGCGGACAAATATCTTTGGTAACCATAGCAGTGATGTGACAAATAAAAGGAAGTAGTGACATCTCCAGAGTAATATGGGGATGGGTAATATATATGAGCTTAAAAAATAGAATCAGCCTTAGAAATAGAAACTATGAAACCCGGGAACACATGAGTTGATGCTAAAGTTTCTACTGGTACATGGTTAATTTTTTTTTTTTTTCATTCAATGAAGTTCTCATAAATCATGTTACACCACATTGAAAACCATCAAATAAATATATATAAATGAATATAAAATAACTATATAAATATCCATCTATATAAATACCCATGTTGTAAACAACCTGTGCAATAATAACCCTGTATAATGATCCTACTATAAAAAAAAAGCCGTCATATGTGGACGCACTGCATATACTTTATATATCCTTTCACCTTTTTCTGCCTTTTGCATATTCTTCTTCTTTGACTATTTGAGCTGATGTAATGAGTACATTTCTCCACTGTGAGATCAATAAAGTCAATCAATCAATCATATATCAGTATGAGCAATCTAACACTTCATCGGTGCGTCTCGATGTTTTTGTCATGTTAGAGATCTCTTCTAACACACCCAATGTTGTCATTACCAAAATCAGACTTAAGAGCCTTGAAACAAACAACTAGGTATTTCAAACTCAAGATCACAATACAGCCACAAACTAACAAGCTGTTACACATTCACTGAACACATCAGCCGTTTTACTCTGTTATTAGTTTACTGGTTAAGTCTGCCTGACCAACCTGCTTACATAAGCACAAAGTATAAGCAATCAATTACAGCCCTGCAGTAAAAACAGGATTGTAAGAAGTAGTATCAGGGATGATGTCAAAGTGGCAGCACCAGACTGATGATAGGAGATCAAGGGGCGCTTTTCCCAAAACATATGGAAGCCATCAATGCAGCTGTGGGAACTAGGTCCTTCCCTCTCCTCCCCCACATCCTCCCTCGTTCCTTTTTAGGGATGCACCACCGCAAGATAATCTGAGAGCTGATAAAGTAAAGCTCCCATTAACATGATGATAGGGAGGTGGGAATCCCAAAATTATGTCAATATTAGGCTCATTATTGCCTCACAACAAGGCTTTCAGTGATAAACTCTAAACTCCCACAGGAATCTGTAGACTCTACCAAACAAGCAAAGAAACATCAACGACACCTCGTGTTTGTCAGATGGGTCTTCATCTCCTCAGGCTTCCTAAAATTCCACTAACATGAATGTGAAAAACAGCTAAAAGGCTTACTCGAGATCGGTGCAAAGGGTTGTCGAAATTCGTCCCCTCAGGCGCCAGTAGCAGCCATCCTCCATATATGGGTTTTGCCTGGTAGGGAACAAACAGAACACAACATATTACAAACAAAAATTATTTTATAATTGTTTTTTTCTTTACTGGTTTTCATTTAAATCACAAACTTTTATTAGTTTGTAAGGAATGTGTTTAAGAGGCCATCATCAGGATACAACAACTAAGGCTTATTATGGAATTTGGAATTTAAATATTAACCTATTATGCATTTAATGGAGTTCTTCTATAAGGTGCAGGAAAAGCAAATGTCCAATACGCAAATTCACCCACAGAGAGTTACCACAGCTTTTTTTGTTTTATGACTTTTAAGGTGGACAGCCATTAGTTGCAGGTTTGCGGTTGAACTACCGGTAGTTCGAATTTCAGAGGATGAATCAAACAGAACTCCATTAGATGTTTACAGTTTACTACATCATCTTTTAACTTCTTCACCTTGCCATTGTTTTTAATATTCCTGTTAGAGTCTGTTCTCTTCTTCTAATAAATACAATGCATCTGCAGAAAAAACAAACAAACAAAAAAAGGCCAATCATTAATGGAAAGCACTTCCAGATAGAGTCCGACCGATATGGGATTTTGAAGGCCAATATCGATATTGGGGCTTTTGAAAAAAAAAAAAAAAACATCCAATCGGACAGAACATTTAAAATAAAAGAAGAAAACTGAACATAGAGATAAGCAGGATATCCACTGTCCAAATATAGTCCAATTAAAATTCACATAATAACCAAAATATGATTCATGACAAAGAAAAAGAACATAAAAATATAGGATCAAAATAAGCTACTTTAAGTTGAGCATTATCAACATAAGACTATAAATATAATAATTTTTTGTGGTGCCATTTTAGATATTGACATATTTGTTGTGTTTTTTGCCTTGCTGATACCCTGATTAACTTTAACACTGCAGATGCTGCATCCAACAGCTGTTACATCCTTCATGAAGAGCTCCAACATGACTGTATCCTTCTGCCTGTGGAATGAATATATAAACATTTAGTGTATTTTGCTAGTTAGATTTCACTTCTACAGATGAGCATTTCAAAATGAAAAGAAGTGGCTGCATACAGATTAAAGTAAGTGGCTAATAGGAGAAGTTTGTATTCGATTCATTTTTAAAAGACTTAGAAATACTAGTTTGTCATATTTACAAGCAACTGAAAAGTTCCCTCCTCCACTGAACACAAGGGACCAAACTACATTTAAGTAGCAATGCTGTAGATTTCAAACCATCAAAACAGGGTGACAACTAAATACATGAGTTGGAGCTTTTTAAAAATGAGTTTAATGAAAACATTAAATTCCAAATGTGTGAGCTGAAATGCTAACATTCTTGGCAGAACTAGTGCATATAAAACTTGTCAACTCTCCTAAAGGCGCACTAAAAGCATGTAGCCACAAGAAAATTTGTCATCATGGGTAGGGCTGGGTAAATAAAAATTGATTTAATAAATTTTGGATCAATTCCTTTACATTTTTGCACAATTAATGTGCAGGGAATGACAACGATTAGTTTTATAGTGATGCGTGACGTTCACATTCAAACGACAGCTTGCTGAGTAACACCCCACTCAGCAAGCTGTCCCAACTGAAGTCTGGAACCGTTTTGGATTTAAAACAGCTAAAAATAATGGATATGTGACATTAAGGTGACTTCCCACTACATTGATAATGAGCATGGCCTTGCATCTCATGCTTCAGACCACCAAGATGACTTCAAGCCAGACAGCTGCAAATATAGCCAATAGGTTGACTGAGGACATAAACAAATGGGGGCTGACCAGCAAACACCCTGTAGTTGTTACAGACAACGCTGCAAACATGGTTTGTGCAGTGGAGATAATGCAGCTCATGCATGTCTGCTGTGTCACGTCTGCTTGCTCGTGCGAGGCTTCAGTTTTTTACTTTTTTACACAAGTTTGCACTTTTGACACAGTTTTGTTCACATCTCAAGTTTAAACTGTCTGCTTTACAAGTTTGCACTTTGTGTTTAAAACAGGAAAAAATAAAATACATGAGTATTTTGAGACACAGTTGAACCACTTTCATTATTGTAAAAACAGATTGAAACGAAATTAATCGATTTAGGACTTTGGTGAAAATACCCACCCCTAGTCATGGGGCACTTCATTACTATTATTTTTTTTTTTAACAAAATCAGGCCTTGTCATGGAGAAAACTACTTACTTTCTCCCTCTTCGTCCGCTACAATGTTTAACTCTTACGCTAGCAACAGCTGTGTGTGTTTGCGGAGGAGGGGGCGGTACGGAGCAGCTCGGCATTCAGGAAGGGAGGGTCAGAGGAGTAGAATCGGCGCAAGGCAGAAGTTTTGTTTAGCCTTTTGCAACAGAAATATAGTATTTATATTGGCCACATTTTGGCTAATGTTAATAAATCAGACAATAAAATCAGCCAACCGATTAATCCGTCAGGCTCTACTTCTACCGGATCTTTGTGTTTAAAAAAAGAAATGTTCCCTTTAAAAATCACAGAACACTTTATGCAAATATTCCAATAAGATAATTTTTTTTTTTTTTTTATCTCTTAGGGGTGTCCTAATTCCATACCAATATCGGCTATCAGTCCGATATATGCCAAAAAAATAATATCGTATTTTATCTGCCGGCATCTAAAATCTCAGATATTTTCATGCTGATAGAAATATTTTGCTTCCTTAACAAGTTTCTGTAACAGAAGTGTTGACTTTTGTTCCCCGTTTTAGTATCATCACTTCATCAAGCCTTTTCTAACAATCTATAGAATAAAATAAGTAATATAAAGATGATTCGTGCTAATGTTGAATCGAGTCAATATCGGTATCGGCCAGTTCTCAAAGCTACAGTATCGGTATCGTACTGGAAATGAAAAAGTATCACCCCTAATTTGTGTATATTTACAATATTAAAAAAAAGTTTTACAAGCTCAGATAAAAAGATAGCTTTCATTTAGCACTTTCCTGCTAAAAGAGATAAAAAATTCTGACCCTATTTCAGAATATTTTCCTTTTAGTGCAAGATCTGTGTTAGTCACTAAATGCCTGTAGTTGACCACAGGTTACACTCTCCTGCTGGCTTTAATCCAGAGCACCATGCTGCCTCCGAAAAAAAGAAAAAGGAGGGGAAAAGCCTAACACACATGATTTTTCCCTGTGATCATGGCAGTGGGCGGACCGGTGGGTGGGTGGAGAAAGCAAGAAGCACAAACTATGGGAGAAAAAAGTGGCGTATGAGCTGAAGGGAAAAGTAGCACAAATCTTTGGGAGTTTTTGTGGCTTAAACACTGAAAATCAAACAAGCACTTAGGAAGGAAGGCTGGGCCGGTTGTTGGGCCCTTCTTAAAATGTTCTGGTGCACACTTTGAGCTGTAGCCACAGCAATAGTCGACCCTTCATTGCAGAGCCAAAAAAACAACAACATTGTTCATAACCATAACATTATAATGTGTACAAAAGGAAATTACGCTAAAATCATCGCTACACCTAAGGAGCTCAAATTAACTCCTTTTACATAATCCGAATGCACTTCTCACTCAATGCAACAGCAGGGTTCAAATCAGCTTGTGGAGCTCTGACATTTATAGCTCCCTGGCACCTCCGTATCTTCCAGTCAGAGATTTTGATTACAGTCATAACTTCAGTCAGTGAAAAACTGAGAGTAATCTGCAACAAAATCCTCTTTCACTTTGATTCTGAGCACATTTTCAGCTGCATGATTCCAAACAACATGGCTTAGTCTTTATCTTAGCCTTGGACAGCCAAGTAATTAACAGACTCAATAAGTATTCATAAAGAAAATAACAAAAATGCTAGTTTGGAAAATAAAGTTAAAAAAAATGGCATTAACTAACTTAAAAAAGACTTTGACACAGAGATAAACAAACATTTAAAAGGAAAGTGAAATCAACGTTTCTCCTCACGTGACCTGACCGAAATCCTATCTGACAGATCCTTGAAGAACAGAGAAACAACTGAGATCAATGTGGGTCATTTTTTACCCTGCAGTGGTTAAACGGGGCCAATTTAATGTGTTCAGGTCAAAATGTCTGCAACCACCTTTATTATTCCTCCGATCATAAATAAGATTACTGCTCTGACAAAAGAGGAAGAGAAAAAGGAGTTCATTCTATAAATATACAGAGGAGAGTTCTTCTTTGCAACAGTCCTTTAGCTAAACTAGAACTGGGTTCTTTCCTGTCGCACGTTTCGTAATCTCCAACATGAAATATTAACTGAATTCTGTTGAAGGGTTACCACAGATTAGAGCAACATCCTTTTGGAGGACAGCTCTCTACCTCAACTTCTGAACTGTAATCTAATTCTGGCCATCATGTTAATCACTGTTGAAAGGACTCCCCACAGCATGATACAGTCCCCACCATGTTTTACATTGAGAATTCGGGGTTGTGTGCAGAGATAGTCTTCCCCTTTAAAAAATAGCATTTAGTAGATATGAATTAGGATTATGTCCTTTAACTAAAAACAATGCAAACCTACCATGTTTGCAGCCCCAAATGCTGAATATTCTATTCATAAACACGACCGTGAGAAAGTAAATAAATATTGTACTTCTGAAGTAAATCAAAGCCAACATATTTCAACAGATAGCTCTTTTTTTTATCCCGATTAGCCAAACCAGCACCTGGAAAGCGATGAGAAACTCCATTAGTCACAAATGTATCATCCATTTACACCTTGGCTGGTTACGGCTATATAAACACCTCAACTAAACTGGTGACTAACATGTCGGTACACAGATGTTCAAAATGCTCTGAGGCATTGGGTGCTTCTGTTCTAGTCAACTTTCTGCCTTATTTCCACAACAGAAATACTAATATATATAAAATACCTCACCTTTTATGTCGGTGCTTATCATAAACAATGAAAAAAAAGAT